ACACCCCCCTCGTGGCCGCTCCCGAGAGGGTCGACGTCGGGAAGAAGCCATGGCGTCAAGGGGTCTCGGGTCGGGCGAAAGGGGGGGATTGGGAAAGGGGGGGTTACGAAATTTGCTGCATGCAGCTGGTTTCGGCCTCACCGAGGGGCCCATTCCTCGATACATAGCCGCCTCCGGCGCCGGGAGGCGCCGGGAAAATCAGCTACGTTAGCTGATTCTCAACCCCCCCCTTTGCTATCCCCCCCTTTCGCCCGACCCGAGGGTCGGGGACCTCGCTCCACGCCTCGCTCCGTCCTCGGCGTCGAGCGCGGGGGGGGAGGGGGAGGAGGAGGAGGAGGAGGAGGAGGAGGAGGAGGAGGAGGAGGAGGAGGAGGAGGAGGAGGGGCAGTGAGGAGGAGGAGGCCTGCTCAGAGGGCGGCGCGGGGCCTCTCAGGAGCCCCCCGGCCTCCCGAGAGGTTTTTGGCGCTCCTTCGGGGAGGGTCTGGGAAGCCTTTCGGGGAGCGTTTGGGAAGCCTCTTTCGGGGAGCGTTTAGGGTTTGGCGCTGCTTCGGGGGGCGTTTAGGAAGCCTTTCGGGAGGCCCGAGAATTCCCAAGCCTCCTGAGAAGGCCAGGCCTTTTTCGCTTTCCCCCCCGGGCTCGCCGCCGACATTCGTGCCCAGCCATTGTGGAAGGCTCCTCCCTGATGTATATGGTGATCCAGGACTGGTTTGCCAGGGTCCCGAGCTCAGGTGCCCTCGTAACAGTTGGACAGGGGCTGGAAGCTGGCGCTGGAGTTTTCATCGGTTGCGGCGCACGCCTTCCGTTCTTATCAGCGGGCCACTCACAGCATCAGAAGGTGATTCGAACCGTTGCAGCGCCGTTTGCCGACCTGTTTGCGGCCAGCTTGCAGTAAGGTTTCGAGCGCCAGGCAAATACGCCAGCCCAGGGAAGCCGCTGTGGAGCTGGCGCTATGTGAGGGGCAAGGGGAGGGGAAGACACGTCTACCGATAACAGTCGAGGGGGGCAAACATAGCAGTCTACAGCATGTGTTTCTGAGGGGCGATTGGCTTTTGGTTTCGCTACGTCCAGCCAGATGTTTTGCGTCCAGTCCGAACCAACGGTTTCATCTTCCTTGTCGGAGCTGTTGCGTCCATTCTGGAGGCGATCAGAACTCCGAACGTACTCTGGATCCCTTAATAATCGACCCCCCCCTAAAAAACCGGACCCCCCCTTCCTTCAGGACATAATTTTCCGGACCCCCCCCCCCGCAGAGGGCGCCTTAATATTCCGGACCCCCCCCCCCAGCAAAATTGCGAGCGCGACGACGACGACGACGACGACGACGAGGATACGAGAACTACGACTACGACTACGACGACGACGACGACGACGACGACGACGACGACGACAACGACAACGACAACGACAACGACGAACTGAGGGGCACTTAAGTACGCAAGATGATGTTGGCGCTTGGGGTGCGACGAGGAAACCATCACCGAGATAGTCGTCATCGCCATCAGAAGTACCATCATTGCCACCGCCGCATCATATCGTGATGATGGTGATAACGACCATGATTAGGATGACGATGATGTTGGAAATGTTGTTGATGGTGATGCTGATGCTGATGCTGATGATGATGATGATGATGATGATGATGATGATGCTGATGATGATGTTGGTGATGATGAACATGATAATGACAATGACGATGACGACGATGAAGATGATGCTGATGATGATGATGGTTAGTACTCCGCGGGCCAGTACCCAAAAGGCGCCCTAATAAACCGGACCCCCCCTGAACGTCGGCTTCAAGAAACGCCTTAATAAACCGGACCCCCCTGCTTCCCCAAAAGGCGCCTTAATAAACCGGACCCGGGGGACGATTATTAAGGGATCCGGCCTCTGCTGCAGATCACGCACTTATCACCACATTGTCTGCAGGGCGCAGGCAATGAGTGCGACATGAGTGGAGGCATAATGAGAGTGTTCCCCACTCCCGCGTAGTCCATCACCCAGCTTCTGTTCCACTTTCGACCATCTCACGATTGGTCTCCATCTCCGTTGGCGCTGTAGGTTCAACCATTCTTCCTCCCCAGCAGGTTGGGTGTGGCCTTCTCGCAGCCCCCCTTGGCGCGCTCTCCGTGCCGTCGGCAAGTAGTTCGCCCACTCCTTCTACGCAGAGAGGTCAAGAGAAATGCGAAGACGATGCGCGGTGCTGTTGCTGGAGCGATTCATCCATCTGGACGTTCTGTCACAAGGGTTGATCATCAAGAGAGTCTCACATAGGCGGCGCCACTCTAAACGTTGCGTGTCTCGTTTTGCCCAGATGAGGACGACTACCATTATCGCCCATCTCCCGTTAGTCCTCCTCGCATTCCTCAGCCATTTTGGCCGAATCGCTTTTCAAGGATCGATCACATCAGCTGCCCGTGGTCCCCGTCGAACCCCGGTGGCCGGCACAGCCCAGCCCTTGCAGCAAATAGACCCCCAGTCGGTAGATGCAGTTGTGTCTTTCTAGCCTTAAGTCGAGCCTGTCCTTCTACAGGGAGAATATCCACAAAATAGTAATATGGGGACGTTTTCTTTCTACTGTGTTTGATTATTTTTGAGTGCGTTTGACGATCTCTGATTTTTCTTCAAAAATCCGCCTGTAGGAGGACATGCCCGACCTAACTCTAGCCCCCGTGCGCTCCCCATGGCAGGGACACCACCAGCCACCGCGTGAGTTGTGTATCCTGCCACGCCCATGGCCAAGACCCCCACACACACCTCCTGGCACGGGCCACGCAGCTCCTTCTCGCGTTGTGCGCCCCGCCTCCTGCGGCTTCGCTCTCGCTGCTCCCGTCCCGTCTGTCCTTGCCCTGCTGCACGGAGCACTGATGCCCTTCCTTTTGGCCAAAGCTCTGCCGGGGAGGAGGGGAAGAGAGAAGGGTGAGAAGAAGGGCGACGGGAGGAAACGAGGGCTGGGAGGGAGGGCCCAAGCCGAGGTCACGGAGGACCCCCTCCTGGCCCATTTGTTCGACGGCCCGATCCGCCTGGACCGCATCCCCGAGCTCTGCACGCGGATGAACAAAGAGCTCGTGTCCTACTTCACGCGCCCCGGGCGGCAGTGTTGACACCTTGGGGCCAGCCTGCCCCCCCCTCCCGCATATGCACACTTTGTCCTCCGCCGCGCCAGTAAGTCCAGCCAGCAGCATCAGGTGTGGGGTCGCCAGCAGCGAATGTTACTCTCCTCCTCCCGCGACGCACGCGCGCGCGAGGATAATCACCAGCCTGGAACAAATCCCCACTCCGATGATTAACATCACACTGGACCTTAGCTCGGTGTCGATCTTGAGGATTCCCTTGGTTGTCGGAGGAGGCAGGCCCTAAGATTGGCTATCGCCTCGGCTGGTCGACCTGAGGGATGGGGCGAAGTTCGAGGTCGGCTGGACACTTAGTCAGCCCCAGAAACGGCAGGACCGTGTGTTGCTGCCGTCTTCCAACAAATGTTGCTGGAGCATGAAACGGTTTGAACATTACCTTGGCGGAGGACCCAACCATGTGCAGACGCGAATATCGCGAGGCAGGTGAGAAGCAGAAGGGGGCCCAGCAGAAGGACTGGCGCGGAGGAGGAGGAGGAGGAGGGCGAAGGAGGGCACGCGGGAGCCGTGGCGACGAGCGATCGCGCGCTCGGGGAGCCTTTTAGGTGCCCGCAAGATTCAAGTCAGTCGCCCGCAAAGAAGCGGAGCGCAGAGGAGTCCCCGCGACGCGCGCTGGTCACCCCGAAGGAGTTCCAGCGACGCGCGCGGGTCGCCCGCGGCACGGGGCGGAAAAGGTGGCTGCTGGGGCTTCAGGTAGAATTTTTGTATGGGGCCACAGCGTGTGTGGTGTGTGTGCCGGAATGGGCGAGGAACCGCATGCGAGGACGGCCACTGGGGCATTCGGCGGAGCACTCGATGGGGCAATGGTACGTGTGAGGAATGTGCCAAAAAAAGGCGGGGAGCCGCGTGCAAGGACGGCCACGTGGGCCTCAGGTGGAGCTCCTTGTGGGGGCACGACGCGCGTGAGGGGCGTGTCGAAATAGACGGGGATCCGCGCGCCAGAACGGCCAATCGGGCATTAGGTGGAGCTCTTTGCGGGGCCACGATACGCGTGAGGGCATGCCGAACTGGTCGGGGAACCGCGACTCGGGGCCAAACCTTCACTATATTTCTTTTTCTTTGGAACGCCCTCGGATCTTGAAAGCATTCCTTGAACATTTGACAGCAGTTGTTGTCCAAATTGGCAAAAACGGTTGTCAAAGTGAACAGAATTGCTGTCCGATGGGCCGCGAAGGACAGCAATTCCTTTTCCACATGAAAAGGCACTCAAGGTGGGCATCGCACCAATATTGTCCGCCCCCTGTATGAGCGTGCAAATCGAGGGGTCCAGAGGTCGAAAATATTTCCTCGGCGAAGGCGGGCCGAAGCGAAGTGAGGACGGCTCCGCCGGCAAAAGCCAGCGGAAGTACAACATGCGCCCTCTGAGGGATGGCGACGTTTTTGGGTTCAGAGTTTGGACCACGCCAGTTGTACGTCTGCGCCGGCGATTAACAAGTTCACCCTATACGTTTTGGCCCCGACGTTCCTCCGTGTCTCCTATTTGTCTTGCCCTTTTCTTCCTCCACCTCATCGCCCTCCTCCCCCCCTCTTTTTTCGGATTTCAGGGTCTCTTCGGACATCCCCCCGGCTGGCGCTAATCCGGTTGACGCCCCCGCCGAAAGTCAAGCTTGAACTCTGATTATTTTCTTCCTCGCGCGGAGCGCAGGTGTGGCGTGCTTGGGGGGCAAGAGCAGTATCAATGACACCTCGCCGTGGGGAACCCATCTGCGTGTTGTTGATGATGAATTATCACGTAGCTCGTCATTCATACAGTCGGTTTTCTTACACTCCTATGGCAATGTGGCCCTCGGAAGGGTTCTGTGTTCTCTCGCGTATCCTCTCCAATCAAGCTCGGCTGTACTCGCTATCCCTCCCAACGACGTGCTTCCGATGGTGTCCCCGCCCCTCCGCAGCCGAGCACCTCGAGAGCTGGCCAGCGCCCCCTCTGCGGGCGGTTTCTGCGGCCCCCCGGCGGCGGGCGCCATGCAGCTGGCTAGGGTCCGGGCAGGACCGCGGGTGTGCCAATGCGTGCGGCGGCGTGGCTCTGACGACGGGCCGTCCGTGCCATGTGTGGTGTACGCGTGCGTGTCGGGGAGCGCCAGCTATACACCTGCACCGATCCTGGCCAGGCCCATCCTGGGCCCAGGATCAATGGTTTCGCCCTCCTGGCTTGGGCAGGAGGGCACATGCACCGATCCTGGGCCCAGGATGAGCCTGGCCAAGAACGGAGTAGGTGTGCAGTGAGCCCCCTCCTGGTGTCGCACCGCATACTTCGCTATTCACCCTCCTCCTCCTCCTCCTCCTCCTCCTCCTCCTCCTTCTCCTCCTCCTCTCCTCTCCTCCTCCTCCTCCTCCTCCTCCTCCTCCACTTCCTCCTTTTCCTCCTGATCCTGCTCTTTCTCCTTCTCCCCCTCCTCCTCATCCCCCTTCCCTCCTCCTCCCCCTCCTCCTCCTCCTCCTCCTCCTCCTCCTCCTACTCATCCTCCTCCTTTTCCTCCTCCTCCCTTTCCTCCTTCTCCTCCTCCTCATCGTCATCATCATCAAACTCCTCCTTCTCCTCCTCCTCCTCCTCCTCCGCGGCCGCCCTCTTCTGTCACCCGCCTTCTTTTGCACAAGTTGCCCAGCAGCGCCCCCGCTTGGGTTACGGACACAGTGCGCGTGCGCCACCGCTGCGGCTAAAGATATGTTGCATCGTGTAGCTCCAGGACGGCCCCCATGAAGTCCCAGCAGCCCCCAGCCGTCCTTGCCCAGCCTCCTCACGAGCTCCCAGGAGCTCCCAGACTGCGCACAGGAATCCCAAGGAGCTGATAGCGGGGAAGGTGTGAGCGCTTTGCGTTGCGGGTCTTGGCCACTTGAGGACAAATGGCCATGGCACAAATTAGCCGGAGCGAAAGGTTTCGTGGAAGCGAGCGCGGCGCGTGGGCGACAGCGTGCATTTTTGGAGCCATGAGGAAGAAAGGCATGACGCGAAATCGAGAGAGAGAGAGATAGAGAGAGAGAGAGAGTTGTGCCTGACCGTTAGTTGTATAAAGACCGGATAAAGAGAAAAGAGAGATCCAACATTGGAGGCAAAATGCTCACGGTGCTGAGGCCAGACCAATAATCGCAGCGGGTCCGCATAGGGCAGATACCTCGGCACGAGACTTGTCGCCCGCATCACCGATGACGTCACTATTCGGCGTACATCTCTCACACGTTGGCCCCTCGTCACACTTCGCGCGATCCCTTCTGGAGCCCGAGGCCGCCAGCACCACGTGGAAAGTGCTGCACGCTCAGGGCGCAGCTCCCACCCCTGTCCTCCTCAGCGGCCGCTCTCTCCTTCTTTCCCGTGTCTGCGGTGCGCAGTTAGCTATGCCCTTTCCTGGTTGATGCTATCCGACGCCTCGTGTCCCACGCAGCCGTTGACACAAAAGAGGCTTCTCACCATGCATAGACGAAGAAAAAGGGGCATACACATGCGCGGAGCGCGGTAGGGGCGGCTCCAGAGGCGCTGCCAGGGAGGCCAGCTCGTCCGCGCGGACCGTCGACGGTTCATACTTATGCCGTTGTTTCTTCCTTTATCGGGCAAGCGTCAGATTCGAGCTCGCCGGAGTTCGGGTTTGCCCACGCTTTCTGACAGGCCCTTCCTGGATGTTGATGGTCCAGTCTTCGTAGGATGTTCCCGAGTCCTACGTCTCCCCGATCATGCAGGGTTCCGAGGTAGGCGCCTGCGCAGGGCAACGGATCTGCTGGCCCGCCGCAAGCGCCGATAATTATGCTCGTTTCCTACTCGTCGACCTCCTCGCCTTCCTAGTCCTCGACCCGCCTCTTCACCTCCCACCCCTCGACCTCCTCGATGTCCTGCGCCTCGACCTCCTCGACCTCCTACTCCTCGACCGCCTACGCCTCGCCAATAACTCTGCGCGACCCCCGACTCCTCGACCCGCCTCTGCAACTTTCTGTTGCTGCGGGGCAGCTTCTTCCTCGAACGCAAGGACCAGAGGCGCGCGCGTGTGCAAGGCAGCGGGTCCGCTGTCCCACCGCAGGCGCCGATCAGATCCTGCCCGGCGCACAGCGCGGCCAGCAGCCCGTGCTCTCGCCCTTGTCATTGATGCATCTGTCCTACGCACCCCTAGCAACAAGGCGACCTCCTACTCCTCGACCCGCCTCTTCACCATTGCTGCTATGGGTGCTATGGGGTAGCTTCCTCCTCTCATCTAGGCCTCCCAGATGGAGTCCGAGTAGATGGGGTCGAAGGATCGTGCCGCATCGCCCATGCATCGGCGATGCGGGTCTGTGCTGAGCCCGATTTTCTCCGCGCCGACGTCGCCGACGCATCGCCTCGGAGATGCGGCGCGATCCTCCGACCCCATCTACATCTACTCGAATCCCATCCAGGAGGCGTCCTACCAGCGTCGGCGGGATCAGAGGCGCGCGCCTGCGCAGCGCCACAGGCCCACGGGCCCGCCGCACGCGCACTCCGCGGCCCGCAGCCCGCGGCGGGGAGGGGGGGGGGCACGGCCCCGGCGCGGCGGGGCAGCGCGCCTTCCGCGCCGCAGCCCGCGCCGGGCGCCAGAAGGGCAGAGAGGTCGCAGGCTGCGCGCGGGCGCAGCACCGCACGGCGCGGCACAAACCACGCGGGGGATGCACGCGATCGTGTGCCTATTCACTGTTTTGCCGATTGCGCGGGCTCGCGCATCCCCCCTCCCACCCCCCCTCGTGGAGTAGAACTTGGCTATTTGGGGCGCCTGTTTCGAGCGGGTCGGGTCTCCCCCAGGGGGCGCACGGTTCCAAACAGCCGCACTACGCAGAGGTCTGGAGCCAGAACCCCTCCCCTCCCCCCCTTTTCGCCCAATGTCGAAACGCCGAATAAGCAAACGCTCATCACCTCCCCTGAGATCCTGGCGTCCTTCTGTCCATCCTTGGACACTTTCGCTGGCCGCGCCCTACTCGCAAGGAGTCGGCATGGCCTTCCAAGCCCCTTGCATCCTCATCGGGTTGCCTGCACGCACGGAGCAGGTCCGCACGGAGCGCGCGGCCTCCGCGTGGGCTTACTCCGACGGGGCTTGCCCTCTCCTGCGAGCACCGCCGGGCCGGGCGGGTTGCAGCGGGCCCGCCTCCTCGGAGGAGCCGGCCCCGCTTGGCCCCCCTCGCCTTGGGGCGCGCAGCTGCCCGCCCCTTGGCTCCAGGAGCTGGCGCCCCGTCTCGCGCGGCCAGCGGATCCATTGCGACGGCCTCGCAGTCTTCGGCGGCGAGCCCCGGGGGGGAAGGCGAGAGAAGGGGCGGGCGCCTTCTCAGAAGGCTCCGAAGCCGGGGGGCCTTCATGAGCCTTCCCGGAAGACGCCGAAGACCTCTCAGAAGGCGCGAGGGCTTCTGGGAAGCCCCGCCGCCTTCAGAGAAGGCCTTCCCTTTCTCACTTCCCCCCCTCGCTCGCCGCCGATGAAGGAGCTGGCGCACTGTCTCGCGCGGCCAGCGGATCAGTAGCGACGGCCTTGCAGCTTGCCTCTCGCAGGTCGGACTGCTCTTTCGTCAGGGTAACCCAGTGCTTCTTCGCTCCGCGCGCTGCGCGGTGGCTTCCCTAGGGGACCGCATGCGAACCCTACCCCTACCCCCCTCAGAAATCGGGGGGTAGGGGTAGGGTTCGCATGCGGCCCCCTATTCCCGTGGCCGTTGAAGGAGCTGCTGCGCTCGGGGTGTTCTGGGCTCCCCGCCGCGCTTGCATCTCGCGCCTGCGGGTTTCAGGGCCGTGGGCTCCTTGCGAGGGCTTTTCCTGCGGCCGCGCCCGCACTGCACTCCGACCCCGTCTGGGAGGTCCAGAGAAGCACCGCCTGGCCCAGCGGTGCACCATACTTAAGTCGGACCTGTCCTCCTACAGGGGGATCTTGGACGAAAAATCTACAGTAGTCAAAAATACCCCCAAATAGCCAACAAATATTTGAAAAAATCGTCCCCGGATTATTTGTTTGACTATTTTTGTATAGTCCTCCTGTAGAATGGCAGGCCCGATTTAACACCACTTTTCTCCAGCGGGGTGCAGGGCCCGTCGAAGGGGGCCCCGCTCGGGCCGCGGCGTCCTGAGGGGGGAGATCCCCCCAGGGGCGACGAGCTGCCTCGCGGGAAGGCCCAGCGAGGCCCACGAGCGCCACAGAGCGCGATCCCCTAACGACGACGACGACGACGACGACGACGACGACGACGACGACGACGACGACGACGACGACGACGAGGACCCAGAAATGGCCGACGCTCCAAACAACAATCGGAGCGGGCGGTTGTGGGCCGTGTCCGGCCTCCCGGGGCCCTCGCCGGGGCTCGGGAGCGTCCGGGAGCGGCTCTCGGGACGAAGAGCCGGCCGGCACCGGGGAAGCGGCCCGGGCCTCCGGGGCCCACGCATCGAAGAAAGTAGAGCGGCCAGACGTCCGGGAGGGGAGGAATCTTCTCCGCCGACGTCGCAGCGTTGGCGTGCCGTGGGCCCCCCCGGATCTCGACCGATTCCCCAGCGCAGGCCATACGGAGGAGAGCTGCGACGGTCCTGGGAGCAGGAAGCGGCCCCCTGAGGCCAGGAGCGTCGGTGTGGTTTGGTCTTCCGTGCCTCCAAGCTCGCACGGACGGGGCGCCGCCCCAGCCGCCGTCAAGCAAGGCCCCAGCCGTCGCCAGGCGTAGCGCCCACTAGCGCTCAAATGGCGCCCAATAGCAACATGTGGGGGAGATGCTTTGCGCCCGATGGAGCGCACAACTGGGCGCAACGGGAACGACCCAACGCTCTGAGCTGCTCTCTGGGTCTCCAATCTGCGGGTTGCCCTGGACTGCGTGCCGCGAATGTGTTGCCTTGGGGCCCTCCTGGAGTCCTCTCGGACCGTCCTGGGCGCTCGGAGGCCCAAGCGTGCGAGAGCCGGACAAAAGCTTCGGAAACCAACGACGAATACATGGCCGCTTGCCTCTTCGGGTGCCCTCTGGGCGACCGGGCCCGGCCCCGACCGACCCGCCCTGCTGCTCTCCCCAGGATCGGCCACGTGCAGAGGGGGGAGGGCGGCGGGGGGGGAGGGCTTCTTGGAAGGCACCCCCTGCCTCGCAGAGGGCGCGGGCCTTGTTCATAGATGCAAGGCCACAGCGTCTCCTAAGGAGAGGCCGCCTGCTAAGAACCCCCTTACGACCGTGTTCTTCATTGTTTTGCCGGTCGGCACGGGCCCTCGCCCCCACCCCCCCGAATGGAGTAGTTCTTGGCTGTCTTGGGCGCCTGTGTCAAGCAGGTGGAGCCTCCCCCACAGGATGCGTTACTGCAGACAGTCGCAGTCAGCAGAGGTCCGGAGCCAGCCCCCCCTCCCTCCCGCCCCCCCCCATTTCCGCCCAATGTCGGAACGCCACATAACAAAAAAAGAATTGGTCCGAGAGAGAGAGAGAGAGAGAAAAAAAAAAAAAAAAAAAGGGATCCAAACAAGGTCACGACTGAGAGAGATGATGCACCTGAGGGGGGGGCCTCCTCCTCCTCCTCCTCCTCCTCCTCCTCCTCCTCCTCCTCCTCCTCCTCCTCCTCCTCCTCCTCCTCCTCCTCCTCCTCCTCCTCCTCCTCCTCCTCCTCTCCTCCTCCTCTCCTCCTCCTCCTCCTCCTCCTCCTCCCCTCCCCCCGCCGAGCGAGAAGACGTCCGCCCCGTGCGCGCCGAGCCAGCAGGAGGCGCGCCGCGGGCCCGCCGCGGCGCCGCGCTCCTGGCCTCCTGCGCCGCGGCCGCGCTCGCCGCGCACCGGTGCCTCGCGTTCGGGCTCCTGGCGGGCAGGTCGTCAGGCGCCGCCGCGGGAGCCTCCGCTCGGGGTGAGAAGGAAGCTGGGAGGGAGGAGGAAGGGGGGAGAAGGAGGGAGGGGGAGGAGGGGGAGGGAGAAGGAGGAGGAGGAGGAGGAGGAGGAGGAGGAGGAAGAGGAGGAGGAGAGGAGGAGAGGAGGGAGGAGAGGAGGAGGAGGGAGGAGGGAGGAGGAGGGGAGGAGGAGGAGGAGGAGGAGGAGGAGGAGGTTTGCCTGCTGGGAGGGAGGAGGCCTGCTGGGAGGAGGCGAGGCTCGAGGTCTCCGGGCGCCGGCGTCGGTGTGCGGGGGCCTGGCAGCCTCCGGAGGCGCTCCAGCGGCGGCGCCTCACCGAGAGCGTTCCGGGGGCACCCAGATCGTCCCGAGCGGCCGCCGGAGACCCCCGAGCTGGGACCCCAAGACCAAAATTCGGCGGCGCGCCCGGGGGGGGGGGAAGGCGAGAAGGAGATGGCCTTCTCAGGAGGCGGCAGGGCTTCCCAGAGGCCTTCCGCGACTTCTAAGAGGTTGGTTGCGTCGTCGGGGAGGGCGTCGGAAACTTCTCAGAAGGCGGGGGGACTTCCCTCTGAGCCTTCTGAGAAGGCCCGCCGCTTCTCCCACTCCCCCCCCGGGCTCGCCGCCGATCAGTAGTCGGGCGCCGCCAGAGAAACCGTGGCAGGAGGTTTCTGGCCGGCCTCGGCCTCTGGGGGCCCTCGCCGGGCCAGGGGGCCGTCAAAGAGCGGGATGCGAGAGTGGCCGTGGGGAAGGGTTGGGATTTCGGGGGACTCCGTGTTGAAAGAATCAAGACGTCGGATGTCTGGGGAATTGCCCAGGCCTCCCGGATGGGGCCAGAGCAGAAGGGGGCCAGAGGGCCGCGCCGCATCGTCAATATATATATGTATATATATATATGTGTGTATGTATACACATATAACGGCGCACCGGGTCCGGGGGCCCGGGGCCGGGACCTCGACCACAAATGTGGGCCCCGGGGGGCCCGGAGGCTCGTCGGACCGCCGGACGCCGTCCAAGATCGTTCGCAGGCGGCTTCGGAACGCGCTCCGATGGCTCCAGATGCCTTCCAAGACGCCTGTCATGACACCAAGAAGGTCCCAGAAGCCTCCAAGACGCTCCGAGAGGCAGCCCAAGAGAGGCCCAAGAAGCAAAAATCGTGCCATTCCTATGGGAAAACGTATATTTTTCGCATGTTCGCCTCTTGGGCTTTCACCGCGTCCAAGACGGCCCAAGAGGCGCCCAAGACCGCCCCAAGACGGCCCAAGAAGCTTCCAAGAGGGCCCCAGGACAGCCCAAGAGGGCCCCAAGACGGCCCAAGAGGCGCCCAAGATGGCCCAAGAGGGCCCCAAGACGGGCCCAAGAGGGGGCCCAGAGGGGGACCACGAACCGCAAGCTCGAGCCTTCCGCCCCAAGAGGCCGCCAGGAGGCCCCAAGGAGGCCCCTCAAGAGGCCCCAGGAGACCCCCAAGAGGCCCAAAGGAGGCCCCGAGAAGCCCCAAATCGGCCCCAAAAATGCTTCGAACCTGCTTCCAGGAGGCCCCCGACAGGTTCAGAGGCTCCCGAGAAGCTACGTCAAACTCCCAGCGAGCGGCCTGACGAGGCCCCCCACAAAATCACAAGAGGGTTCCAGTATTTGTATCCTTCAGCGCTCTCTGGCCTTCTTCCCCCTGCCCCCTTCCCTGCGACTTTCGTTGGCTCAAGCTCGCCTCCTAGCTAGAACCTAAGCGCGCGCGAAGCGCGCGCGTGGTTCTAGTATATATATATATATATATGTATATACACACACATATATACATATATATACAAATACATATATATATATATATGTATCGGCAATGCGGCTCGAGGTAGAGCCCGATGTTCTCCACACCGACGTCGCCGATGCATCGGCGATGCCTTGGCGAGGCGGTGCGGCACGCCGACCCCATCTACACTTGAGTCGGGCGTGTCCCTCTACAGGAGGCAGATTCGAAATTATCACACACAAAACAGAGTCTTGGGACGATGTTCCAACTATGTTTGATATGTTATCCGAATTTGTTTTGACTATTTTTTATTTGTCGTCCAGAATCCGCCTGTAGGCGGACACGTCCGGCCTAAATCTACACTGGAAACCCATGCCAAGAAACACCCTGCTTGTCTCCAGGGTGCCCTGGGTTTCTTAGGTTTCGATGGTTGTGCTATGGGAAGCGTGACGTTCCCACACCAAAAATCAACGGAAGTCCTGGGGTCTCAGGGTTGGGTTTCTTGTGGAAGGTCTCTTGTGGTCGAGCTCCTACTCTACTCGAACCCCATCTGGGAGGCCTCCAAAGTGTCCCTGGCCCACGGTGTCCCTGGGACTTCCCAGGGAGGCCCCCACGGCCTCTGCGCCACCCCTCACACGAGGCCCAGAGGGCGCAGGGGCCCCACAAGGGGGGAAAAGAGCTGGGGACACCTTGGGCCAGGGGCACCTATAGCTCCTTCGAAGTTGGCCAGGATGGAGCCCAGGAGGGGTCTGGAGGCCGATCGTGAGCGGATTCTTGGAAGTAGCGAGGAGGAGGGAAGGAGGAGCATAGTCAGAGGCAGCAGCGTGGAACGGGGATTCCCCGCTGCAATGTCCCCGCGGAGAGCCGCGTCTTCGTCCTCCTCTTCCTCGCCCTCCTCCTCCTCCCCCTCGTCCTCCTCATCGGCCTCCCCCTCCGCCTTCGCAACCTCCTGGCCCTCAATATTCCTATCGAGCCATCGGGTCCCATCTTCCATCGGATCCTGCTCCTACAACCCCCTGGAACACGACCACCGCCGCATCCCCCTCATCGTCGTCGTCCTCCTCCTCCTCATCCTGGCCATCCTACCCATCCTCCTCTTCCCGCTCTCTCTCGTCCTCCTCTTCCTTTCCCTCCACCTCCCTCCTCCCCCTCCTCCCTCCCCCTCCCTCCCTCCCTCCCCTCCTCCTCCTCCTCCTCCTCCTCCTCCTCCTCCTCCTCCTCCTCCTCCTCCTCCTCCTCCTCTTTCGCGTGATCCTCCCTCCCTCCCTCCTTCCTCCCTCCTCCCCTCCCTGCCTCCTCCCTCCCTCCTCCCTCCCTCCTCTCCTCCCTGCTCCCCCCCTCCCCTCCCTCCTCCCTCCCTCCCTCCTCCATCCCACCATCCTTCCTCCTCAGCTCCTCTGCAGGAGGACCGTAGGTGAGCGGACACCGAAAAGAGAATGTGCACACGAGGGCAAGGTGACCCACGGTGTATGTGTGTGCGTGCCCGAGGTGAAATGTGTCGCCCAATTGCGGTTACGGTTACGCGCGCGGGCGGGTTGAAATGTGTCGCCCGGTTGCGGTTGCGGTTGCGCGCGCGGGGGGATTGAAATGTGTCGCCCAGTTGCGGTTGTTGTTGCGGTTGCGCGGGCGGGTTGAAATGCGTCGCCCGGTTGCGGTTGTGGTTGCGGTTGAGCGGGTGGGGTTGAAATGTGTCGCTTGGTTATGGTTGCGGTTGCGCGCGCAGGCGGGTTGAAATGTGTCGCCCGGTTGCGGTTGCGGTTGCGCGCGGGCGGATTGAAATGTGTCGCCCAGTTGCGGTTGCCGTTGCGGTTGCGCGGGCGGGTTGAAGTATGTCGCCCGGTTGCGGTTGCGGTTGCGCGCGCGGGCGGGTTGAAATGTGTCGCCCGGTTGCGGTTGCGGTTGCGGTTGCGCGGGCGGGTTGAAATGTGTCGCCCAGTTGCGGTTGCGTTTACGCGGGCGGGTGGAATTGTGTCGCTCGGTTGCGGTTGCGCTTGCGCTTGCGCGGGCGGGTTGAAATGGGTCGCCCGGTTGCGGTTGCGGTTACGGTTGCGCTGGCGGGTTGAAATGTGTCGACCAGTTGCGGTTGCGGTTGCGCGCGCGGGCGGGTTGAAATGTGTCGCCCAGTTGCGGTTGTTGTTGAGGTTGCGCGGGCGGGTTGAAATGTGTCGCCCGGTTGCGGTTGTGGTTGCGGTTGCGCGGGCGGGTTGAAATGTGTCGCCCTGTTGCGGTTGCGGTTGTGGTTGCGCGTGCGGGTTGAAATGTGTCGCCCGGTTGCGTTTGCGGTTGCGGTTGCGCGGGCGGGTTGAAATGTGTCGCCCTGTTGCGGTTGCCGTTGCGGTTGCGCGGGCGGGTTGAAATGTGTCGCCCGGTTGCGGTTGCGGTTTCGGTTGCGCGGGCGGGTTGAATGTGTCGCCCGGTTGCGGTTGCGGTTGTGGTTGCATGTTGAAATGTGTCGACCGGTTGCGGTTGCGGTTGCGGTTGCGCGCGTTTGCGGGTTGAAATGTGTCGCCCAGTTGCGGTTGCGGTTGCGCTTGCACTTGCGCTTGCGCGGGCGGGTTGAAATGTGTCGCCCGGTTGCGGTTTCGGTTGCGCGCGCGGGCGGGTAACCCGCCCGCGCGGTTGAAATGTGTCGCCCGGTTGAAATGTGTCGCCCGGTTGCGGTTGCGGTTGCGCACGCGGGCGGATTGAAGTGTGTCGCTTGGTTGCGGTTGCGGTTGCGCGGGCGGGTTGAAATGTGTCGCTTGGTTGCGGTTGCGGTTGCGCGCATTGGCGGGTTGAAAAGTGTCGCCCAGTTGGCGGTTGCGGTTGCGCGCGCGGACGGATCGAAGTGTGCCGTTTGGTTGCGCTTGCGCTTGCGCTTGCGCGGGCGGGTTGAAATGTGTCGCCTGGTTGCGGTTGCGGTTGCGGTGGCGCTGGCGGGTTGAAATGTGTCGCCTGGTTTCGGTTTCGCGTTCCCAGGCGTTTTGAAGTGTTTTGTCAGAAGTGCTCTCTTGACATTCAGTCAGTCAGTCAGTCACACCGGCGGGCACGGAATTTCACCCGATTTCGTTGGGAATAAGGATCGAGCACGAAGGCTTTCAAGTGCTACTGGTCCTTTGGGAGGCTCCTCGAGATGGCGCCACGGCTGAATTCCCCGCCAGGCTCTGGCCAGCACTCACCTGAGGAGAAGCCTGGAGGTGGGGGGGCGGTATTGAGGAGGAGCACCCAGAGCTCTCATGCATTGGAGCAAACACCAGGGCAGCTGCTGTTCGAGC